TAGTCCTTGTTTAGTCCTGGTTTTTGTCCCGGATTATCCCAAAATGTGTAAACAGGAAAATACCGCCGTGTAATCCATTTATTTTAACTATAATCCAATTACCACTCACTGAAACAGTAACTGTAACTGAATACAGTTACTCATAAATTGTACTCTGATTACGTAACGCTACATGTAATCTGTTACTCCCCAACTCTGGTTACATCCCTACATACAGTACACAGAAACAAATGTCCCAGCAAATGTAGAGAATCTGCAGAGATACTATTAGTGAACAGAGAAGGATCTGCAATCACCTCTGTCCAATTCTGGATGCACCAGTTGGTCTCGCGAATCAGGCGGATATGGACGAGACCTGGAGAACCAGTCGATGATGGGACGACTTTGTGGAAGGAGGAGCTGATGAAAATACGTGGCGTGAAAACTTCCGTATGTCCAAAGACGCCCTTGCTGCTTTAAGTTAGGGGTGTGCATTGCCTTGAGTCTGACAATACGATACATATCATGATTCTCATGTCACGATTCAATATATCCCGATACTAAATCAGTGGATGATATATTGCGATTTATCAATAATTACTTCTAATAATAGAGTCAACTACACTTTCAAGAGAACACAATTGTATGAAATATAATGTATTATTATTTTTTTAAATCATGAGAACAGTGAATGTAACTAATGAATTTTTGTGAAAAATATTATTTAAAAAATCGAGTCGGATGCATTTTGAATCGATTCGAGAATTGTGCAATGAAGTATCACAATATATCACTGAATCAATTTTTTACAAACATACACAGTCCAATTCCACACACTTTTGCATCATCGTATGCACGCAGATTTCCTCCTGAAAACCCTCGTCTAAACGCAGAATAAAAAGTGAAGACGCAACACCACTTTTGTGTCTTCTGTTCAGACCATCCTCATGTAAACGTAGCCTTGTTGGTTCCTTGTTGTAAAGAGCTTTGAGTGCCTTGAAGGTGGAAAAGCAATATATTAAAACCATTTGACCATTTACCATTTAACTTCATGACATCACAAGGTGGAACAGAGCATTTTGAGCTTTTGAGATGTAGATAGACAGACAGAGATGTAGACAAACATGTGTGAGTGAAACATAACACAACTCCAGTTATGTTTTTGAGGAGGTAAGAGCATTAAACACGGCTTCACACTCACAAGAGTCCATTTTGTGTAATACGGGATCTTTAAGCTTTCAAAATGTGAAAAACAGATCAAATTTATTGGTAACTTTATAATAACTACACCTTACTTAGCCTTAATAAAGCATGAACAAAGACTTAATTAATAATGAACAAAGACTTAATTAATAATGAACAAAGATTTAATTAATAATGCTTAGTAAATGCTTAATAAAGAATAATTCATCTTCACTTTAGAAAAGCTCTCAAAAAGACTTAACTAACAGATAACAGCTGCCTGAATGATCATTGCATTGTATTATTAGTAAATCATTCTCTCATGTCTTACTAATGATTAATAAATGCTCAAATGGTTAGTCCATGAGTAATTAAGTATGAAATAATTATGAGTAACTATTTACAGCACAGGCAAATCAAGTGCAAGTGCTAATTAAGGTAGTAATTAAGTAGTTACTAAGTGTGAATCATTATTAAATAAGTCTTTGTTCATGCTTTATTAAGGCTAAATAAGGTGTAGTTAATATAAAGTGTTACCAATTTATTTTAAACTGTTTGCAGCAATCAAAAGTAAAGTAAGGCCAGTATACATTAACATGCTAACAGAGCACTTCCTCTTTCTCAGAGGGCAAATTTTTATTAGAATTACACACAGAGAGTACACAGCTGACTCATTTCTACTGGGAAAAGAGAAGTTATGGTCAATTAGGGTTACTGAGAAGAAAATCCATCAGGACTCCAGCCGCTTTAACTTTTGTTTTTCTTGGTTTGTTTTGATCAGGAGCTTATCCAGAGTCTCACAGTAATTTGCTGAAGCAGTCCTGAGTCAGCACCGTCGTATTTGCAAAGACGTTGAATTAGTAAAATGTTTGTTTTCATTGGACGTTTTAATAAGTCCTCCCCCGTCTCCACCTCTCCTGTCTCCCGTCCCATCCTCCTCTCCTGTATCCTGTCCGGTGTCCTGTGCCCCGCTCTGTCCTCTCAGCTGTTTCCTCTCTTTGCTTTTTCCTGTGGTCCGTTCAAAAATGTCCCGCGTCCACATCACTACTGCTGACCGCGCACAATCACACCAGCGAAGTTGAGTTTGGAAATGCACAAATGAAGGCAATGTACCATTTCTAACAGTTTGCAGTTTGGTCCAAAGTTATTCCGAATGCATTCTGAGCATCCGAATTATTCACCGCGATGAGTTTATAAGTGCATTTCACATTTTTCAGAGTCCAGAGCAGGGTTTTCTTGTCACGCCACTGCTAACAATAACAGCACACCAGCCTTACCTCCTGGTTCGTAGCACTTTGTATAATTACATCCATGGGTTGCGTGGGAAACCAGCTTGACCACAGAATTAGGGTGACCAGATGTCCCCAGTTTTGAGCCTTTGTCCCCTGTACCAGCAGATTTATCCAAAACTAGTGATTTGTCCCAGTTTTATACAAGAAATGCCCCAGGTGTCTCTATTTTTGACAAATCTTATCCCAGCCAACAGTAAAAAGCAGCATAAATTATAATTTGTTTAAGTAAAATACAGAAAAGCTGCTTAAAATGACCAAAACACCAAGAAAATGTGACTATACTGACTCACATGTTCATCATGAATGGGCCGAGTGCAGAAAAGTTAATTATACATTTGATTCACAGTTTTATGATTACCAACCACCACAAACCAGGGAAGTCCCATTTTTTTGATCATGAAAATCTGGTCACCCTACACCACGGGTCTCCAACCTGTAGCTCGGGAGGTACCAGTAGCTCTCCACTCCCATACAAGCAGCTCACCAAAGGATTTCTGAATTGTACATATTGTACAGAATAACTCAAATTTGATAAATTATCATTGTAAATGTGTTATTTTGAACTTTGTGCACTAATAAATGGATAATGGTTTAATGTGTAACAATATCCATGTCTCACGATACGATATCATCAACCTCACAGTACGATATTTATTGTGATATCGTGGGAAAGCTCATGATATGGTGGGGAAGCTCACGATTAGGGATGTAACAATATCCAAATCTCTCTGTACGATATTCACACGATATACATCTTACAGTACGATATTTAGTTGTCTAATGTGCTACTGTTTCCTCTTAAAATGCCTTAACAAGATTGAATCTAAAGAACTAAGACTTAAAAGTGCTTAGAACTGTTATTTGTTCTTGTAGTCTGCACTGAAATGGAGCAAAGGATCATGGTCTATGTAGTTCCCTCTGTGTTTTAATTTAAGCAGAGACTTGTAATTCAATATATTGTGATGGTCCACGATATTATTGTGAGAACTTTGACGATACGATATCACGATATTTTGGTTATTGTTACATCTCTAGCATCTAACTGTATATCTAAGACTTGCCTCTTATATTGAATCAGTTTCTTGCAACCACTGAAAGGAGTAGCTCTCCTGCATTTTCATTTTGTAAAGGTAGCTCAGCTGGGGCAAAAGGTTGGAGATCCCTGCCCTACACAGAATCCTGCGATAGTTTATAGGTGAAAAAACTATACAGGAGAAGTTTGGAGTTTTACCAGGCAAAATCAAACTGAGCATTTTTGAGTGCCTTTTGAGACTCTGGATTCATTCAGTCATTTTATTTTCATGAATGCACATTGGACTCGCTCTTTTTAAAACATAAAAAGAAAAGGCTTTTATTAATGCACTTAAAAGTTCCTGTATTACGCAAAATTCACTCTTGTGAGTTTTAAGCCATGTTTCAATGCTGTTTCCTCCTCACAAACAGACCTGGAGTTGTGTTTTGTTTCATTCACACATGTTTGTCGACATCTGTCTGTCTGTCTACATCTCCTCATGTTCTCCTCTCCATGCTCTGTTCCACCTCGTGATGTCATGAAACGATACTTTTCAAGGTATCAAGCCTGAAACTGAAACTATCCAAACTCCACTGAGTTTAAAAACACACTGGAGCACTTTCTGTATTACCATATAACATCAAAAGGTGAACTCAGCCGAAATATGCAGGTTTGTGTGGTGAACATGTGTGAATGAAACAAAACACAAGTCCAGGTCTGTTTGTGATGAGGAAACTCCATTAGAACAGAGATCAGAAAATAGTGTAATATGATTTATCTTTAACATGAGCTAATAAATATATCACTGTGTTAAATGTAAGCCCTCTGTTTTTCCATTTTTATTTCACACTTTGCATAGCATTCTAACAGGCCTCTGCACACTGAGATGTTTTACTGTCTGTTCTACATTTGCACATTTTGAATATCAGGGCACGATAAGTAGTCCAAAAGTGGTGTTAAGGATGCAAATGTAAAAATATCAGAGTCAGGGTTATCTTTGGAATTGAAATAACCATCCACGTAACTTTTCCAGTCAGCTGCCACCTGCTCGTCTCCATGGAGATGGAATTGTCTCACATTATAGCATTAGATGAAAATATCTAACATTTATTTAATTATGTGTATTTTTATTGCTAAAGAAGTAGCCTGAAAAAAACAAATCCTTACTGTGTGCGGGTTCGCATTAGTTTGCTAATCTACAAGAAGATAGATCCGTGCAGACAATCCTGAGTCAGTGCTAGTGCAGCCTGAAGGTTCTGAGCTTCACATGAGGCCTGTTCTGTCCATAAACTGAGAATGAGATACACTTGTATTTATGTGTCCTCTATCTTCAGGTGAAGGCTCTGGAGACACAGGTTTTGTTTTATGTTTGTCGTAGCTTTTTTAAAACACTTAGTCCTTAGGAGCAATGTTTTTATGTGTATCTGTCTGTAATTATTGTATGTAGACAACTTATTATGAAAGCCAACTGTAAACCAATGTTAACTGGGTATTAATGAAGTTACCTACCTTGTGTGTGTGTTTGTGTATTTCAGGGCGTACGCGGGCGGTGATGAGTGACTTTAGCAGCATCTATGAGAAGCAGTACTCTGTGGCCCTGTTCAACAGTGTGAGGGCCGAGATCGAAGGGACCGGAGGGACCCAGGCCCAACTACTGCACAGGAAGGCAAGTAAACATGACTGCATTCTATATTCACTGCATACAAAGGAAAAGAAACACTTTTTAACCATTTTGGCACTTGTATCAACTTGAAAATAAAAGTATTCCTTAAAGATGGCATACATAATCATCAAAGGCTACGTTCAGACTGCTGTCGGAAGTGACGGAAATCAATTTTTCTGAACCACACAGATCCAATTTTTTTCAAATGTGACCCAGACCACTTGGATATGTGCTCCTAAAACCATATACATATCCATATCTTTTGACATGTGACTTCAGTCTGAACGGTCAGGTCACATTCATCCACCTACACATCAGGCTCGAAGTCTAGTCAGTGGAGGGAAAGTGAGGTTAGCGAGTTAATAAATATTTCAGGCCAAATTGGAGGTCTTATCAGAACAGGGCGGTGTTTGAAATGATTGCCAAAGAAATGGCCGAGCTTGGTCCTGGCGTCAATATCAACAAGAGAGCCAAATACAAAGAGGCTGAACACTCAAACAAACCAAGCGGCCGTGGGTGTGTGTAACCTGTCCATTTTACCAAGAACTGAACTGCATTTTAGGAGACAAGCCCAGCGTTTAGGTGACTTCCGTAAACACTGAGCACACTCTCTGTACGTGACGTCACAGTGCATGTTTAAAGTTCACTGGAGATCACATAGAAGTCACATTTAATTGGAAATGTAAATGACCTCGCAAAAAAATCGGTTTCACAAAAAAATTAGAATTGAGCGTTAAGCCCTGCAGTCTGAACGTAGCCAAAGTGTCAAGAAATAAAGCCTTAAAAGCTTGCTGCTCTGTGTCATGAGTAGGGCTGGTATCATTAAGAAGCTGCAGATATGATATGTATGTTGATAATGTACGCAGGCCATGATATGATACGCATCTTGATACAGCGATCTTTTGATTTGATATGATTCAATACCATATATATTTCAAATTGATTTGATATAGTTAAATAAAAAATAAAGGCTAAATCATGGCTGTGATACTAAAAATCTTTGTTAAACCACTTCTTGTGTAAACTTAATATGAATAAAAAACCATTTTAATCAACAAAACAGTGAAAATGTCAAATGTGTTGCATAAACACATTTCCTTCCTCTGAACAAGCAACACAACTGAAGCACTTTAACAAGATAATTTTATAAATGTATACCAAAACATACTCGATATATATCGATACAGCAGCCCACGATATCCATACTGTATCATCCCATTAAACAATATGATCAATATTTCTGTATTTTTGCACACCTCTAGTCATTAGTCTATATAATATACAATTAATATTGAACTTTTTTATGATTTTTTTTTTTTGAGTTAATCAATAATTGGTCACAATATAATCTAAAAGCTAAAATAATAACTGTAAGGCAAGGCAAGGCAAGTTTATTTGTATAGCACAATTCGTACACAAAGTAATTCAAAGTGCTTTACAGAATAAGAAATACATTAAAATCATAATAAAAACAAATCAAAACATAAATAATCATGAAGATTAAAATTAAAAAAAGAGAGACATAAATTGGAGAGAAGAGTGTGGAATGAAAACCTTTCAGTTTTATGCACAGTTAAACAGAAAAGTTTTGAGTCTGGATTTAAACAGCGTCACAGAAGAGTCTGTCTCACATGTTCAGACTGTTCCAGGTTTTAGCTGCATGAACCTGAAACTCTGACTCCCCTTGTTTAGTCGTGACTCTGGGCACCAGCAGGAGGTCGGTCCCTGAGCTCCTCAGAGTGTGAGATGTTCATATGACACTAACATGTCACAGATGGACTTTGGTGCTCGGCCATGGAGACACTTGTATAACTGTGACCTGATACTCAATACTGATTCCAATACCACAATGATCATGAAAAAACACTTTCTTTAGAGAACAGAATGTGATTTTCAGCATTAAATGGTAGTACTTTCTTTTTTATTCCCATGTGTTTTATATGTCTGTAATCCCTCAGTGGTGCAGTAGGTTTCATAGTGTCCATGGGTGTATACTAGTTTATGTGCTCTTATACTTGTTCTGGTACAGCTCAAGATCATTCTGAAGCTATTCAGGAATACTTTATTTCTGTATCGGTGAACTGAAAATCAGGGAGAACAATGTACAGTGATAGTGGACTCGTATCGGGTCTGTACGGCTCCATCCATTTTGGCTCCACTGATGGACGGTTTCCTCTTTGATAATGCACAAACAGGACGTCCTGGTTCAGTCTGGCTTTACTGTCCCTAAAGTGGGCCAGACTTCACACATGAACACATCTGAATATGGGCGCAGGCAGGAAGTACAGTGCATCACAAAGTATATGGTCTACTATGGATTTTTAGGATCAATATTAATGAACTGTGAACTGGAACAAAGTATTTAATCAGAATCCATCGTAAATGCATTAGTTTTCAATCCAATGGAATGTACTTCTACTACTACTGCTTTTACCACCACACTACTCCTTTTACTACTACTGTTATTACAACTTGTACTTTAACGAGTGGTCTGTACTATGACTACTAACTACTACTACTACATTACATCTACTACTATAGTGTCAAAGGAATTTAGAAATCAAAACTACATAATCAAATATTTAGGATGATTGGCAGGATGATTACAGGCAATAGGTGAAGTGCTTTGCCCAGGGACACAACAACAGTACAGGTACAATTGGTTGAAATTAATGTCATATTTTGATACAGAAATATAACTTGTATTTTTGGGCTGCAGGACCCTCTGGCGGGGAAGACCATCTTCTCGGGGAGCCTGCTGCAGTATCTGGAGGAGAACAGGAAGTGGAGGACCAGATATGTGTCCATCCCAAACTCCTACACCATCGACTTCTATGAGAGCAAAACAGTATGACCTACACAAGAACTACTGACGCATACTAACACCATGTATCTACGGCCAAGTTCAGACTGCAGCCTCAAGTGACACAAATCAGATTTTTTCATCCTAATGTGACCTGTATCTGATCTTTTAATGACAGTCTGAATGACACAGATCTGTTTTTTTCAAATGTGACCCAGGACACTTAGGATATGTGCTCCTAATACCGATACATATCTAATCTTTTGACGTGCTACTTCAGTCTGAACGGTCAGGTCACATTCATCCCACCTACACACTCACAAATGTACACAAACGTTCTCCTCGTCATACCAAAATTATGTCTGAACTCCGTGTCAGTGAAGTGGCGAAGCACATCACAGTCCCACCACTCTTGGCTGCGACTCTGCACCCACATGTTCCTTTTTATGGACGTTGCTACCACTGCCCCACAAAACGCCATGGCCAAAAACCTCGTCCTTCTTCTTCTCAATCTTCTCCATAAAGCATGACAGCAACTTTGAAATCTCCAGGTGCTCAGTGCTCGCGTCCATGTTTAGGCTACTTCCAGTCCAATCCATTTTATTTCTATAGCACATTTCCAGGATAGCTGCGGGGTCTTAAAAGTCTTAAAAAAGGTCTTACATTTCATGTTCCTGAATTAAGGCCTTAAAACGTCTTAAATTATGTTGTCCAAGTCTTATTTTTTTTCATAACCTCTTAGGGCTTAGTGTCCACATACGTGGACAGCACTTTTTACCTCTTATGTCCACAGTCATGTTCAGTGATGAACTGGGGGTGTTATAAGACACATGTGTGGGCAGTGACTCTGCCATCCAGTAGTGTCAGAAGAGCCTAACTTACTATTGTCCAAATTCAATATAGCGGCGAACACATGGTAATATTCAAGTGGCACCTCCATACACAAACATCGATCAGGTTAGAGATGCTCTCATATTTTATGGCTTATTCTGATTTAGATATTTATGAAAGTGTTGTACATCTGTCATGACATGCAAATTTGAACAAAATATTGTAAAAATATCAACTTAGTATGTGAGGTAACATGATGTACACATATGTGTACTTAGGGACTGAAGCTCCTTGAAAACACTAAAATCCTAATCCACATTCACATTTGTACAATAAGAAAAAAGCTATCTCTGTTGCAACTAAAAATCTGTACATTGTCCCAGTGAAATAAATAACAATCAAATCACTAAATACATACATATATACATAGATTAGTTGGCTTGAAAATGTTGAAAATCTAATACGGTAGTAAAAAATGTTAGTTCACTTACTTACTAATTTACAGCTAACTCTGATGCAGCTAAAACACTGTACACTGTACCACTGATATAAATAATGCATAACTACATACATAAATGACATTTCATCTGGTTAGGGTTACGGTTATGTTTTTCTGTACAAAGAGCATTAGAGCTACTTGGGTTACTTGATGGAGAGAACTTGGATTTGGACTTGTCTGACAATGATGATCATATCATGGATGAAAATTACCAAAAACCATCACAGGAGCAAAGCAGCAGTGAAGATGAGGACCCCAATCCTGAGCCCACTCAGTACAGCAGACCTAAACGTTTGTGTGTTGCAGATAATGGTTAGCCAAGACCCAGTATATATTTAGATTTGATGTAGTTAGGGCCTCAGGGCTACATGAAGAACTGGTAGCAAATGCAAATTAACAACACTCGTTGACAGGTTCATGGTCAGGGACAGAAACAGGGGCAGAGACAGCGACAGGTTCATCCCGCACATGCAAATATCACTGTCAAACTCAAAAGATTGACACTGATAGCTCAGAAGATTTGGGCGAGCCAACACCAGAACCAAGCCAAACCAAGAAAAAGTGTCCAAACAGGGTAATCGTTATTATTTTTCTTTTAGTATTATTTATGTATTTATTATCATTAATTTAATTTAGTATTATTTACACAATACATATATTTTTATAACTAAAAATAAATATAAATACATAAATAAATACATTCATAAGTAAATACATAAATAAAATATAAAATACATATATTTTATCCTAAATTTGTTGTGCAGGATGTGGAATTTGCTGGAAGGCAACTCCATTGACCCCAAACATTGCAGAGTATCAGCATCAGGATGAAACTGATCTAGACAGACATGACGGGACCCCACGAGACTACGGTCAGAACTAGACAGAGATTTGATGGCAATGATTGCAGAATGCTCTAATGTCATGTATGTGTTTTTAATACATTCAAAATCAGTCAGGAAAAAAAAAAAAAAGAAAAGAGTTTTTCTTTCCATTACTCAAAGGGGACTTTCTTGTGTTTTATGGAGATTCGGACCAAGAGTCCACATATGTGGACATCAATTTTCTCCAAAAGTACACAATATAAAAATCTGATACTTAGTTTTTATTCTAATTAGGTTCCAATAATCCCAAATAGCAAAGAGAAATTAAAAATGTATGTAAAAAAACCTCTTGGGCCTTAGGAGGATAAAGGTCTTAAATTTCATTAGCTTATATTTTTGTAAACTCAACCTGGCTGCAGTGCAATGTTTAAATGAAATGAGGACGAAACAACAACAACATGAAGTCATGTAATGAGAATAAACTTCTAATTTGTATTCACAAACAATACTTTGGTTTCTGGTGCCAGCGGCAGTGAGTAAACAATCAATACAGTGGAAGAAGACACTGGATGGATCATGGGAAAGTGTAGGTTTAATCCACTGTGGCTCTTAGATTCTAGGTATAGTACCTGTAGTTGGTTGGTCATGATTAGAATTGGATCTGGAGTTTTTCGCCCACATATTGGGTGCAGTGTTGGTCTTAATTTTCATTTAAGTGGTCTTAAAAAGGTCTTTAAAAAATCTTAAATTTGGGGTAGTCAAACCTGATTTCACAAACTAACAGTTTCCAAACTGCTGCACAAAACATAATAATAACAACAATAATAAAATGATAAAATAAACTCTCACATTTAATCATACTAGTCTTAAAATAATAAAAGCAGTAAAATAAAATAAGAGCAAAACCATAGAATACCAATAAATAAATAAAGCCAATGAAATACATTAAAAATAAATTAAATAAATAAAAGACACAGGGGACCACACAACTCACACGGACTTCCACAAACACTGAGTACGCTCATTGTGTGTGACGTCGTCGTGTTCTCCAATGCTCACGTGGGACACTTTTGGGGCATTTAAAGTTCACACTGGAGATCACATACAAGACGCATTTAATTGGAAATGTGAACGACCTCGCAAAAAAGTCATATTTCACAAAAAAATCTGAATTGAGTGTTAAGCCCTGCAGTCTAAATGTGGCCTAATGTGTGTTTGTCTTGAGCAGGTCTGTGATCACGGACTGCAGCCCAAAGTCAGCATCAACTGTGCGGGCTACAAAGTGCTGACCTCACTGGAGGAATATCTGGAGCTCATGGACAAGAGTCTCCCAGGTAAAACAAAAAAAAAAACAACATTCACAGACCCGATAAAATAACGAATCCCTATAATCATGCATGCATCTTACAAATACCAGGCAAGATGAGTGAAGCGTCTTGCCCAAAAACAGCACAGTTTCAGTAGTGGGGATTGAACTCTCAAATTTGGGTTTAGTGGGTAAATTTGTCTGTTTTCTTTTGGAGATACAATCAAAACTGTGATCTGTACCAGCTTTGTGGGGCAAGATACCTCACACACTTGCATGTCCAGGGGTCCCACAGGGCTCTGTGATAGGACCCTAAATGTTCTCTTCTTGTGCGTTATATTTCCAGGGGTGAAGGCCAAAGCCAGCAACTCTCCCTTCATAAAGACTGTGACCCAGTACACCCTGATCCTGTGGCACCCGTACGCCCGTCACCACTACTTCTGTGTACTCACCGACAAGGAGCACAGCAAGTGGAGCGCCGTGCTGCAGGACTGTGTGCGCCACGCCAACAACGGTAACGGTCATTTCATTTCAGATTTATATAAGACACAACACTAAATGTGAAAAACTGAACAGAATGGGATTTTCAGCATTAAATGGTAGCACTTTCTTTTCTTTTCGCATGTGGTCTTATATGTGTGTACATCCCGCAGTGGTTCAGTAGGGTCCATACTGTCCATGTGTGTATACTAGTCTATGTGCTCTTATAGTTGTTCTGATACAGCTCAAGATCATTCTAAAGCAGGGGTCGGGAACGTATCACTTGCGAGCCAGGTATGGCTCTTCTGATGATTGCATCTGGCTCGCAGATAAAACATAAAATATTCTCACTTGTTTTAGGCTGCGTTTACACATAGCCGGGTATTTTGAGAAATGAATATTTCCCTCCCTCCATTTTCCAAAATAATATCTTGCTCACAGCATCGTTTTCAAAAAAGTTTTCGTTTACATCAACCCGCATAAATCCTCCATCGAGCGCTGCCATAACTACACCGAGCCTCTGGGCGCAGCTGGATTAGATTCAAACCTGTAGCATTTATTTCATTACAGTACAAATACCTTGAAAAATGTGCATTAGTGTATATATAAGGAACCAAACGAGATTCACACTTCTGTCTGGATCCTTTGCACCACCTCGGAACCAGCTGCGGTTCTTGAGCGCGGAGGACCGGAGCAGCCCGCCCGGACCCATAGTCCACAGCGCATTCTCGCTTTCCCCACATGGAACCAGCGCGCAGATGACGGCACTGAAGCACTCGGACCCAGTCCTTTGCGCGCTGGTCTTGCTCGCCCCCGTCTGGAACCAGGACATGGAGGATGGAACCTTGGACCGATCTGACCAACACTGGACCCCCAGCTACATCCTGAGGGGCAGCGCTGTTGTTCTAGGCTACATGCTGCTGTTTTATGAGTTCATGGCGATAACTTGAGATGAGGACGGCCCGCTGTGTTAACAGGGAACATAGATTCCCTTCACAATTGGAGGAACATTGGGAACAGCGGTCTGACCCTAGTCCGGGTCCGTATGAGATGGCGTCTGGACTATATCTATATATTTATCTTAACCTCACCAAGTACCAACTGGACTACAAAGCCACCAGCAAGTCCATGTAGCACCAGAAGTCGCATTAATGGTCAGTATTATAACAACATTATTTAAAAGAATAAATTCAGAGGCTTATTATACTCACATTTAGTTGAATTTAGTCTTAAAATATATTATATGGCTCTCACTGAAATAAATTACCAAATATTTTGCTTTCATGGCTCTTTGAGTCAGAAAGGTTCCCGACCCCTGTTCTAAAGATATTCAGGAAAGCTTCATTTCTGTCCTCTGACTTTTTTAATATCAATACCTGCTCAAATGAGTTTCTAGTCTTGATACTAGTTTCCGTATTGAATTAGTATCTGATTTTTGATACTTTTGACTCTCCTATCAGGCAATGGAAGTGAAAGAAACTTGAAACATGGTGTCAGTAATCTTTGATAAGTTATAAATTGAAATTATACTTGGTATTCCTGGTTGAGCTACAGCAAGGGAGGTCTGTACCTTTATTTCATTTCAGCAACAGGCTTGGTGCAGTTAGATATTCATAACCTGGCTGTGGGCAGATTGATATGTGTGTGTGTGTGTGTGTTTTGATGCTGTCTCCGACCCACTTGTGGCTGGACTCAGTTGCACCAGCGGGAGCCAAGATGGATTCTCATGAGTTTGTGAAGTTACAAATATCATGAGAATTCCTCTTTGTGGTGAAAACACTATTGTTATGATATTCAATCACTGATTAATCCATTGCAGTCAAAGTGAGAAATGCTGATGTTCCACTGGGAGATGGACAGTGGACAGGATGATGCACAGATGGAGAGACTGAGGAAGCTGAAGGTTCTGCTGCAGCTATAACAGGCTGAAGAGGAGGGAAAGGGACTACACAGTCTAAATAGCTTGAAAGGTGATTTACTGAGAGGAAATGGTAGCTAGCCCTGTTTTTATAACAGAAGCAAACTGTAATAGGAAGGAACAGAAGTGTTTTAGGTTGAACCTCCACCCATATTCATCATGAATACTTCTTAACTAGGCAATTTTTGTTTAGTGTTAAATTTTATTGTTCTATGGCTAACAATTGCTATTATCACATTTAGTTAACAAATAGTTATTGCTTTAGTGACACAGTTAAATGAATGAGACTCTTCATATTTCAAATGCCCTTACACCATAAAATCCAATTTTAGCATAAAGTATAAACACAGACCTTCCTTGTCTGCTGGAGAGCTCGTGTTGCCCCTCTGGTAAACCTTTTATTTACCAGTCCAGTGTTACATCACTGGACTGGTAAATAAAAGCAGTGCCAGCTCAGAACATGCCTCTCATTCTCCGTCAGGCCTGAAAAAACAGCAAACCACGGTTACCATGACACAACGCATCAACAACATACTGGCCATTCCTTCACCACTGCTCACAAATCACATACCAGCACGTTCAGGTGCCATTAAAGACTGACTCATTATTAACCAAACACATCATAATCATATAATCTGTCTAGCAGAGTAATACTGGTAATGTGGTGGTGTTGCATCCTTGGATTTGAAAAAGAACTATCCTAAACTGATTTTAATTCTGAAATCCAATTGGTTTAAACCTAAAAGGTCTCTGTCTGATCAGAATGGTCTCTCCCTAAACCCCAGCACCTGCACCAAATCCTGAGTCAGTGCTAGTGCAGCCTCTGCAGCTCAGGGAGGGAATTCTGGAGGTTCTGATGAGCCATGTTCTGTCCATAAAGTGAGAATGAGACAAACTTGGATATGTCTCTATCTGCAGTTTATGACTCTGACAACACAAGTTCAGTTGTGATTATACAGTAGTTCCCTTTTTAAAACAGAAACAGCTCAAGCTACTAACCGTACCTTTAAGCGGTATGTAATTTCCCAGGTGAGACACAGTGGCGCCCCCTTGTGTGCCTTCTCATTAGCACAGTTGAATATAATCTGAACAGTGCGTCACCTCAGAGGAACCTTGATTTCTGCAGCTCTTCAAAGTGAGGTCACATTCCAGAGGGCACAAACACACACACACACACTCAAACACACACACTCACGCGCACGTAATTACAGCGTGACAGAGTTTAGTGCTGGTGCTTTCTCTTCAGACTTGCCTATAATCACATAATCACATGTGTCCTCTGTAATAAACGAGCTGTGCAGGTAAACACTCACAGTGCATCATCACACACTCAGGCTTTTGTCTCTGAGGTCTGATGTCATCGAGACACAGGTCAAAGCTGTGAGGAGCGGTAATGTGGGAACATGCCAAATTATGTTTTATTCTGGAAAAGATTACAATTATTTATATCATAATTTAAGTCTCAGTTATTTAAAATGATTACTTCTACTGTCAAACTAAACTTGTAGAGGAAGCATACACCTGATATCAATTATTAGTGATATTTTCATCTACTGTAGATTAGAAAAGTGGCTTTGTTGATTAATTGTATTTTCAATTACAACTTTTATGTATCATAGAAATCATGATTTTAAATGTAGTTATTTGCACGACCCTAAATTAAACCATGATATCAAATATGAGATAGCAATGTGTGTATGTACAAGTATTTTCAAAAATCATCATCAAAACACTCTTAGTGGTTTTAAAAATGGACTTCAGTCACAAACAGAACCTGGGCTGCCAGAGTCTCCACCTGCAGGTAAAGGACATCCAGTCCAATCCAGCTTTATTTGTATAGCACATTTTACAAACAAAACAGTTTCCAAAGTGCTTCACACAGCAATGCAACATTTTACTTTAAAAAGAAAAAAAAAAAAAAAAAGAAAAAAATCAGGAGAATTATGTTTAATAAAGACACTAATAGAAAAATAAATACAATGATAATAATAAAATGAACAAAAATAATAAAATCAATACATAAAAGCAGTACTAAAAAATAAAGATAAAAACAATAAATAAATAAATAAATAAAATTAAAGATACAGAGGACCACACAACTTAATATACAAGTTTGTCTCATTCTCAGTTTATGTTCAGGCCTCATGTGAAGCTCAGAACCTCCAGAATTCCCTCCTGAGCTGCAGAGGCTGCACTAGCACTGACTCAGGATTGGTGTAGGCGCTGGGGGTGTAGGGAGTGAACATTCAGGTCAGAGAGAAGCATTTCAGGTTTAAACCAACTGGATTTAGATATAGGATATTACACAGCATTACTTTATCATATTTTATACATTATTTACTTTACCCACTAGGGGTGTGCAAAAATATCAAAATATCAATACATTGTAACATTTAATGTGATAATACAGTATCGATATTGTGGACTGTTATATTGATATATCACCAAGAGTATTTTTTGGTTTATTTTACTAAATTATTTTGTTACAGCCACAGTTTTGTTGCTTGTTTAGAGGAAGGAAACTCATTTATGTGACACATTTGACATTTTCACTGTTTTGATGATTAAAATGTTTGTATTTCACATGAACTTTGCACAATAAGTGGTTTAACAAAGACTCCAACAAAGAATCACAGGCATAATTTTGCAATTTTTTTGTATTGAACTGTATCAATCAATTTAAAATATATATCGTATCGAATTGAGAGCTCACTGTATCAAGATATGTACGTATCTGCAACTTCTTAATGATACCCAACCCTATTACTCACCTCATTGCTGACACGTGTAAGTTATAATTAAAATTAAAAACAAATGGTAAATAAATGAGTAATAGTAATCCCCAACACTGGTCTCTCAAAATAATGTCTTTAATGATCCATAAAGGCTAAAGTAACGAGTCATTACACTCCTCTTGACCTCACTAGAGGAGAACCTGTCCTGGTATATTCTGAGGCACTGTTGCCAAAATAAACACTTGTGCCCAGGAGCAAGACACTGACTGTTTTTGTGGAATGTACATTTGAAGAATGGCTGAAAATGAAAGCATTTTAGCATGGTTGATTGATTACAGATTACGCAACACTTTCCACAGAATTATGACTTGCAATGTAAAGGGAATATATAATGCAAAACAGCTTCTGAGTTTTTAACCCTGTTGTGTTCACGTGTCATTACTCAAAGTTGTGTTTGAGTAGATTCATGATGTGCGTCCTGCTTTTGAGGCGCGAGTGCTTTTCACCTGCCCCTATACCGACCCGCCCACTTCCTCATATTAACATGGGTTTATTCAGAAATACATTTGACTCAAAAATGTTGCGTA